AAAATTTTGCAAAGCTTGTGTGTTGTGAAATTATCTGAGTGTACTTTTAAAAATACTTGAACAAATACTGCTTGTGTACGCAACATTGAAAAATAATCTCCATGATGGAGGCATCTGAAACGCTGTCAGTGAAGACACTTTGCAGGCCTGTCTTAATGCTACAGATTGTATGCCCTAAATACTTAGCAAATGTCAGTATAAATGTCCAGAGTAGTACTGAGAAGATGGGTGAAGCTGGCTAAGGATGAAAGTAAGTTTCTTCATCCAAGTCACATTGGGCTGGGGAGAAAGGATTGGGCACCTGGCACGTGTCATTTCTTTACTATCTGCTGATTGCAGCTGACAGGTCTTAAAGCCCATCCTTCCTCCTTTGTTGGCCAATAGAGTTGCTCACCCATCAGTTGTGTATATTCCATTGCTATAAGTCACTGTGAATACTAACACGATTCTTACAAATAAGAGATCCTTTCAAAACCCGTGTATATTTCTATGCTTGATCCCAGCCTGCTGCGTTTTAATCCCATCTCTTCCCTTTTGTGTTTATTTAGCACTTCTGTTTGGTGGTGACACTAATCCTGCTCATCCTAAACACATAGGAAGTATTGATCCCACCTGTAATGTGGCTGATGTGGTGAAAGGTAAGGAGACCAATATAATGTTATCATTCGTAGTTCAAATAGGATCGTGGTTTATTTGACGCAGCTTGGCTATAAGGTCATGTTGCTGAGTTGTCTGCTGATTCATCAGACCACTCCGGGCCCAAGCCACTTGATCCAAATATGAAGTGTTCTTTCTAGGCAGTTCAGGAAAAGATGCATAATTCGTAATGCTCAAAATGTGAGTTTCTACTTCATTGATTAGGGTTTTACTTGTTCTATCTCAAACAGTAAACATTTAAGTAAGATTCTAAGTTTTGATTACCACCATTATCTGAAAATTTCAGAGAATGCAAATCCTTATTATAAAATTAGGTTGAATTTGCAAGTCTATAAAATTTCAACGTCTTTCTTATGTACAACCCTGGTTTTGGAATCTATGTTGCATGCGAGCTTCATGAGTTCACTGGACATCAAGCTAGACACAGTCCCAGTAGCCTCAGGGTGGAACTGAGCCCTGTATCCTTAAGTCCCCGGTACTCCAGCACTTTGAATTAGAACAGCGGTTTCCTCATTATTCATTTAAGATAAATGCTATTTCTAGGAAGCCTTCCTGGTTGTGAGTGATCCACCAGGTCCCTGCACGTCTTCAGTACTATGGTCACTCTGTACAGCCTCGGATCCCCAAACTGTCCCCTTTGCTGATCATATCTCCTACTATAGCCCTCATCTCCCTCCTCTAAACACTCACCTTACAAGATTTCATGACCACAACTCTACCTAGTCTTCATCAAGGATCTTTGTTGTTCTTCAGTAGCCATAGCAAAGGAAAACCTATGCAATTTGTTTACTCTGGGCACTCCTAAACCCCGGGAGGAGGACCCAGGCCCATTGGTCTTAGCTCAGCCTAGAATCGTCGAGCTACCCTGGCCTCTGTTTAGTTAGAAAACATTTACTGACATTGTTTCATTTATAAAGTGAATAGGCCCAGCCTCAACTCCCTAAGAATCATCCTATAGGTTGTTCTCTCACAAGATAGCTCTGTGGTTGATCATAACCTCTGCAAACCTCCAGGGGGAAAGGGGAAAGGATCGGCCGTATCACAGCTTTTATGATCATTAGGCCCTAGCCCAGTGCTTTTTATGAATCAGAAAAGTGGATTCAGGCAATTGACCACCTCTTCAAGAAAAAAGCACAATATAGAAAGCAAAAATATACTATAATATATTGCATGTGTGCCTTTTCTCTTGAACTATAACCAATTCGAGGTCAGGGTTTGTGTCTTGTATGTGTTTTGTAACTTGCATAGTGCCTGTTTAAATGATTAATATGTATTGCTTGGTTTGATACATTTTAAACCTTCTGATGATTTACTTTTAAAAAACAGCTTTATTGAGATATAATTTTCATACCATAAAATTCACCCATTTAAAGTGCACAATTCAGCGGTTTTTAGTATATTCACAGAGTTGTGCAACCATCACAACAGCCCAATTTTAGAACATTTTCATCACCTCAGAAAGAAACCCTCTACCCATTAGCAATCACTCCCTACTAGGACCCCTCTCTTCAGCCCTAGGCAACCATTCATCTACTTTCTGTCTCTAAGATAGATTTTCCTATTCTGGACATTTCATATAAATAAAATCATACCATATGTGGTCTTTAGTGACTGGCCTCTTTCACTTAGTGTAGTGTTTTCAAGGGTCATCCATGTCGTTACATCTATTAGTATTTCATTCCTTTTTATGGCTGAAAAATATTACATTATATGGCTATAACATATTTTATTTACCTATTCATCAGCTGATGGGCATTTGGGTTAGCCGGGTTACCTTGGACATGTTAAGTAACCTCTTTGGGCCTCAGTTTCTTCATTTGTAAAATGATGCCATTGGTAACTCAGCTATATCATGGGGTTAAATGAGTTTATATAGGTAGAGCCCCTAAAGTATTGCTAGCACACAGGAAAGGCTGTAGACAGATTTATTAGCAGTAGGTAGTCTTTAGGTGTCAGGCAAGTCATTTGGCTTCTCATTTATGCCATCGATTATATAGTGGTTTGGTGCCTTTACTTTTGTTTCCGGCATAAATTATAAAGTACTTAAAAAGTCATTTCAGATTTTTATAGGACAATTGAAGATTTGAACACTGGATATTTGACATTAAAGAAATAGTGGTAATTTTTTTAGGTGTGATATTGATACATGGTTATGTTTTTGTAAAGGAGTCCTAGCTTTGAGAGAGGTATTTAAAAATATTTACCCACAGGATATGAAATGACATGTGGGATTTGCTCCAAAATTACACAGAGGGAGAGGAGTGAAAAAGACTGGGCATATGTTGATGGGCACATGGGGATTCGTTATCTAGGGTGTCCCAAAAGTCTCCACACAAAGGAAAACTTTTGTAAAATTTTGTAATGAATATTTTGTAAATAAAGGTACATTTAGCTACAATTTCCCATTTTCCCTGTGTATGGCAACTTTTGGGACACCCTGTACTATGCTCTGTGCTTTGGTATGTATTTGAAATTCTTCATGATAAAGTTTTTAAAACACTCATTTTTATCATCTTGTTATTTCTTCACAAATAAAGTCTTTCATTAATTTTTAGGGAGATTTTAACCAAGAACTAGTACAACTAGATAAGTAGCAGGGAGTTTTATGAAACTGTTACCCCTTCTGTAGAACAGAGAGATTAAGCACTGCTAACATGCAGTCAAAGGCACCGTGGGAGAGTGTGAGGAGGAGTCTTCTGTGCCTTGATGCTTATGGTGAAAAGAATCTATTGTTTTATGGCACTTACTGTCTGTATTGTTCTTACTGTATTTAGTATATATTACCTGGTCTTGTCATTATTTGTACTTAAGTCGATCTCTGTAACTGGGGTATAAATTTCTAAAGGTCTGGAATTACTCTTATATACTTTTACATCACTTCTCTTAGTGATACCAGTTTCATACCAAAAACTAGCTGAAGATTATTATATGCAGAATAATTCGATGCATATTTAAAAGAAAAAACCCTGAAAGTTTATGCCTGCAGTTTACCTCATAGCCTCCGATTTTCTTTGATCCTTTTATTCATAATTTTGACCATAGGCCACAGTCCCTTCCTTTCTCCTCCCTCTTCTTGTCCTCACCCACAGCTTTATCTTCACTTTCTCCTGCCCTTTTAAAACTTTACACCTAGTAGCGTATTGTGAACAAAGTTCACCGCATCCTCTCATTTAATTATTCCTACCACTTGTTTGGCATGACTGAAGCTTCGATTCCTGGTGAAACCCTATCCAATGATAGTCACTCCCCATGCCCTTCTGCGACTCAGAATTCCACTTCCCCTAGCACACACGGGCACACACACGCATCCTAATCCCACAACTCATGGGGTGAGCAAGAAGGACTGGCATGCTCCCCATTCCTTACTGCCTCAAGCCATGTTTTTCATCTCTTAACAGCATCTTCCCTTAAGGATAAAAGCAGTCAAGGTGGTTTCAGATTCTGAAAGTGCATAAACACTGTAAAGCATCATCCACATAATTGACTTTTCTGGGGCCCTTCATTCCCTTCATAAATCGTGCATGCTGATACCCACAGCACACTAAATACTCTTAGCTTGTACATATTTTCTAGAATGCTTTGGTACTTCTGCTTCCACCTGGTGATGCGTATGCTGACTAAGGGTCGCTTATTTGTACCCAAGCCATTGGTGTAAGTCTGCGGTTCCCAACCCCCAGGCTGCAGCCCGGTACCAGTTCGTGGCCTGTTAGGAACTGAGCTGCTCATCACCACCTGAACGCCGCCACCACCACCTTCTGTGGAAAAATTGTTTTCCATGAAACTTAGGAACCAGGCTGCACAGCAGGAGGTGAGTGGCGAGCCAGCCGCGCTCCCCATCGGTCACATCACCACCTGAGCTCCGCCCCCATCCCCCACCACAGTGGAAAAATTGTCTTCCATGAAGCCGGTCCCTGGTGCCAAAAAGGTTGGGGACCGCTGGTGTAAGTTATACTACCTGTTGTGACTACATAATTTATTTAAATGTTATATAAACTGAAGAAATATAAGTACAAAAAAGAGACTTATTTCCATTAAAAGACCCAATAGAGGAACGTCTCTTAAAAATGTAACAAAATTACTGTGAGCAAGAAAACAATCAGATCACAGGGAAGCACAGAGTAAAAATATTACAAGAAAAATTCATACTCAGGTTGCTTTCCAAGTATCTTTAAGTTTATTACACTTGAAAGAAGTTGGAATTCATAGAGGTATGTGGTATCATTTATCCAAGAAAGACGACCCGGAACCCCAAACTGATCCATATTCAAAGAAAAGGCTTTGACCTTATATGAAAAGATTGATGTAGGAATAAATTATATATTGAAATGTGCATTTTAAGTTAATGTTTATGATAGTAATCCCATTTTATGCTTTCCCACTTTATCCAACATTTTTGTTAATCATCCAACCTCTGTTCCCAGTTGGGACAGTTAAGAGACTAATACCATATTACCAAAATAATAAAAGTGCTCATTGAAGAAAACTTAGCAAATGTGGGAAAAGAGAGAAGAGAATAAAAATTACCTGTTTTATAACCCAGTGAGAACATTGTTTTATACATTTGAACTTATACCAGATTTACAGATCAGTGTACAATTGCAAATATTATGAATAATCTTTGTGTCTGTGAAATCCATAGTATTTGTGTATTTCCCTATGTCCAGCATTCATGCTCATCACACACAACCTTCTTGGATGCCAGAATTCACTACCTGACAGTAGGAGCCTCTCTCCTGCCCTCTGTATCAATATTGTTGGAGTCTTTCCTATGTCTGACCTGTGATACTCATAATCTGTACATTCAAATGGTCTTTCCAGCCAAGTATATATAATCTTTTTTCCTCACTGGGAGGAGATTGGCCTTAAATCAGTGACTACCATGGCAAAATGGGCTGGGCAACCTAGAAGGAAACCTGAAAGTCTCTTTTCTCCCTGTAGACGAAAGCAAATTTTAACAGTCAGCTTTCTGTTTCATTTCCTA